TGTTGTTGTTGTTTTTTCTATAATGAATTTGAATTTATTCCAAACAGAAAAACATTACCATTTTGAAAAGAGCTAGCGAGAAGGAATACAGGAGGAGAAATCATAGTCTGATAGCTGGGAGAGCAATAGGACTTGTTATGATTCCTGTGCTAAAAAGAAAAAGAGAACCTTGAAGATAAGCCTGGACACTAGAATAGGAAAGAGGTAAGTGATGTACAGCCACAGCTACAAATGCTTGCAAGAGACAACAAATGTAGTTGAAAAATTGCTTATAAAACACTTTCTCCAATTACATAATCAAACAAAAATTCAAACAATGTCTATATTTTATTACTTATTTTGATGTCTTCTTAAATGCAATGACAGAACCAAGGAAAGAACAGTATTGTAACATTAATTGTCCATTCCATTCATTTAGGTTTCATCAGGCAATTCTCCCAGAATCCTTCCTATCTGGACGAGGTTCAGTCATTACCATCCCATACAGACAGGCAGATCTCTGAAGGTGTGGGTGTGGATTCTTTTATTGCAATCTCACTTTGAAGGATTTAAGATGGAGAACCCTGTGCCATAGTAGCTGCATATCTCTCAGAAATTGGAAGCAGCAAATGGAAGTTCATCTGGGGTGGGAGGGGTGCTGTGAAAATATCTTTTGTCTGTATAGATTTGCTAAACTAAAGGAAAAACAATCAATGGACTGGTATTATATACTACCAGTACTCTACTCATGGTAATAACAATGCATACAACTCAGCTTATGTAACTCCAAGAATGCAAGGTAGACCCTTCATCTTTCTGGAACACAGTACCTCTTAATTATTTTACTTCATACTTGGGGTTGTTGCTAATGGCAAGAGAAAGAATGCACCGGAGTGTCATAATAATCCTCCATTAAATCCTTAGTGTTTCAATTTTAATGCTATAATTCAAGAGCTGACAAAAGCCCATTGAGTGTGTCTATGGGGAGGAAAACAGGCAGGCCTATTTTCTCAGGAGTGATGCTATAGCAACATGGAATGAATTTGGGGTCAAGGAACAAGCAGTCATCAAGCTTTGTTTGCATTTCCTAGCTAAAAGTAGAATCCAACATTATAAGTTTTACTCAAATACATAGTTATTTTGAACAGCAGGAAGATAGCTCACTTTGTACCACCATTTACATTGAAAACAGAAGGTAACAAAGCCAGAACCGGAAGAAAGATGTGCTGACAAATATGTTATGAAATGATTTTGTAAGTGACCAGTTTAGAAACCTCTAGACCAACTCCCTTACGCTTGACACCCAACTCTTCTGCCCTGGACAAATGACGTTTTAGAACATGGAGAAGTATTACAATTTGCAAGATGCCTTTTAAAAGAAGAACACAAACAAAGTCTGATCAACACTCCCTGAATGTGCCCCCCCCCAGTCATATAAGACATGGAAAAGCAGGGTGTTGTTGATTTTGTCTGGCTCTTTATAATGGCACTTTTGTTTCAGTGGGAGGATTTTTTTTCTACCCGAATAAACAAATACACCTGAATCACAATTGCCTATTGTGCAGCATAAAGCCGAAAAAGAAAAGAAAGAGAGAAAAAAGAGAGAGAGAGAAAGAAAAACTACTCAATTTCCAGAAGTGTGTGCTCCCAATGTTTTTCCATAGACCTCTGTATTTTCATCTTTGGTTCTTTTAACATCAGCATATTGAATCAGAGTTCAATAAAACTATGTTTTGGGTATTTATCTATCCCTTAAGTTGCACCGAGTTACAGACTTTATTTCCTTGGTTTATAATACGCAGGAATGAAGTGCTAAATTATAGGTGAAAACATCTGAAAACCATGTAGCTCAACAAAGCTCAGGGGTCTCTCTGCATTCCTATCCCCTTTCCAAGGCCTTCACTGTCACATTTCAACAATTAAAACTCCCTGTCCCTCCCAATCCTGTCATGACCTCTAGTACCGCCTCTATCAATTCATCCTAAATATAACAGCAACAATAATTACTTTCCCAACACAATAACCAAATTTCTCCTCTATTAAAAAATCCATGATGCCCACAAAATCAAATTCATATTTCTACAAGTTAACTATGCTATTAAAGTGAACCACACTGTATAATTTACTGTTTCATTATTACATCTTTTCATAGTATATTTTGTTAATAGATCCTGCCTAGAATTTTCTCATCATTATTATTTTAGTATTTCAACCCCAGTTGAAATGCCCCCTTTACCATGGAAGCCCTTCTGAATTACTCTTTCTAGAAAAAAACCTTTTTCTTCATTGCTTCCCTCTCCTTTTCTTCATTCTTTCCTTCTTTCTGCTTTCTCTTTCTTTTACTCCTTGTTTCTTTTTTATTGTTTCTTTCCTTTTTCTTTTTTCTAAGAAAATATGCCCATGTAGATTTGCCTTTAAGAACTTATTTAATTTCTTTTAATAAACAATTATCCCCCCCAAGGACAGTGGTTATATGTTTAATTATTTTTTATTCATTTTATTCCTAAAAAGAAATCCTAAGAAAATATTCCCTAATCTGTGCTGTTTACCTGGT